AAACCACCCATCGCTAGAATCACGTTCAAAGCCGGAGCTCACGATCCTTCTTGTTTGCCATCTCGCTGCTTGGGTCATCACAAAATGTCTGGTATGATTCATTTAGTGTCACCTCCCCCCCGATTAAAGGAAGGAGGCTGTGGCTTGGCATGTGTGAATGTGTGAATGTCTCTTTTGTTTCGGGGATGCAACAGTCGTCACGGCGAAAACAACGCTTCGCCCCCAGCCTCACCCTCCTGTCCGCATCCCTTTGTTAGCTTTCCTCACCCGGCTGTCACGTTATGTCACGTTCAGTCCGTCAAGCAGCTAGGGTCCTGCTCCGTCGTCGCAAAGATGCAGCAGTTGAGCCAACAAACGTCCCTGGTGTTCTGGTCCCCGATGGCTCGGCGACTGCTCTGGAAGATGTTGGAAGTGCTTACATTGACATAGAAAACGGTGATAAACGGTCTTGGGCTTTTGATAAGAGAGGTTACCATACCTCATAATTTTCAGTAGGCAACAGCTGCTGTAGGGGTATGGGCTGGTTGCAGGAATTGTGACCACAAGCTGACCCACCTTGGTAGCGTCTCCATTTGTAACTCAACATAACATGCACAGTATGCTTTTTTGCATGACTGCAGTCGCCCGAGGACGTGGCGGCACGCAAAGTAAGCGTGAAAGTGAAGAAAGCATCGACTTTTCGCTCAAGGCGAATCGATTGCTGGGACTCTTAGCTGCACAGGGCATCTTTTGCCTATTTTTGCCTGTAACTGTAGCTCATTTCAGCAAATGACAGGGCAGCCCTAAGCAACCTCCATAGGACCTCAAACTCAGACCACACAAAAAGGCCCGAGACAGAGAGGGGTCGAGCGGAGAGGGCGGTGCCACTGGTTTGTGGTGAGGTACTCTGGGATACCTCACTACGAACTCTTGATTTAGAATGGAAGTCCAGTCCCCGGAAAGTACACCTCCACGGGGTCGGCGTTCCAGCGCTGGGGTCTGCAAAGATCATTTTGCTGTTTGTTATTTGAGATGGAGACAGACGACCCCTCCCCCCCCCCCCCCGCCCCGCGAGCACGGGATACTACAACCAAAAGGGGGTTATTACAACGAAAAACCGGGATGTCACAACTGCTGCTGGTTTGAAGGCAAACCAGAAATCGTGATACCACAACCCCTTATTCAGGTTACAAGTTACCAACATTGCCAACCAGAGTTGGGGTCCCAACAGAACACCAAGCAAATTTGAAAACATCTTCAATTGTGATATCTCTCATTTGCTTGGATCCTCTCCTCCCTGGGCTGTCTAAACCCTATCAGCACTGCGCGTTGAGTAACAAATGCCTAGAGGCAAAGCATAGCTGCGGATTTTGCAGAGAGCGCTCGATGCCACAAGAGGCTTTCGTTTCTCGTTGATGTTACATGTGATTGCCCAGTGATTTTGTGGTTTTCTTATGACTTTTATGTGTTGTGGGCAACAGAAATCCCTACACCAGGAGCTTGCATTTCTGCAACATTGATTGTTTTCACATGTTACGCAGTAAGTTCATGGTTTTCTCCGGATGATTAGTAGGTGTTCCGGGCCACAGAATTCCCTTCACCAGGAGCTTGTAAAATTGAGTTTATTTCGTTTCTGCAACGCTCATTGATTCTACATGTGGTTGCTCAGTGATTTCGTGGTTTCCTCATGACTTCTATGAGTTGTGGGCCGCACCAAGAGCTTGTAGAAACAAGTTTACTTCGTTTCCGCGACATTGATTGCTTTCATATGCGATTGCCCAATGATTTCGCGGTTTTCTCTTGATTTCTATCTCTCACCTGTTGGAAAAAATCAACAATAGACAGGCGCACCCTGAGGGGGTCGCCAAACTCTGCAGCCATTCGCATGAGCCAGAATGGCCTCCGGTTGCAATATCCACCAACATGCAAGGCACTGGTTGGGCTATTCGCGTTCTCAGGCCTCCTCAGTTGTGAAAACCACCTTCATGGTGTTGGCATCCTCCAACTCTGGTTGTGTTATCCTTTAATTCCCCCCCCCCCCCTCCCGGTCCGCCAACTTCTTTGTCGCCTGGCACGCACTTTTCCACGAGGGTCCCATGTTGTGGTTGGATCCCAGCAAACGTCTGTAACTGAGCTCTCTGGCCGTTGCCTCTCCCACGTGCGTTTCTGATTCTGATGTTTAGGCCCCCTGTTCCTGGCGATTTACACGAGCGCGCACGAAGACCATTCCACATGATGCAAACTGCTATCGCCCTGGCATTGGCAGTCTGCGGTCGCTTCAGCCGACAGGTTGGCAGCACAGACATATTTCGCAGCAGACCCCAGTACAACCCTACCCAGATCCTTCTAGTTTGAGCCCCTCCTCATGACCTTCAACTCGCTCTGGCGCTCAGGGAGCAATCTGGGTGATCAGAGCCAGACTTCCGTAGAGGATAGCATTCCACGTGGATTGGCCTTGCGAAAGCGAGCATGGGGCTGTCGAAAGAAGCAAGAGAACGTGTGTGTTGAGAGTGCTCCTCTTTCACGTAGTGTGCTGCGATGTGTTCGGACACCCATGCTTTTTGGCATGTTGAGCAGCAAAGGTCGTGAATTGCCCCGAGGGCAATCACAATTGGTTTCGCATCTCTCGAGTCTTAGTGAGCTTGAGACTTCTGGGGCTGCTGGATGAGGCGCACCGTTGTTGGTCGTTCCGAGCAAAGGATAATGATGTGAGACTTGCCCCGGAGACTGGCCGAGTTCACTTCGGCTTATCCTGGTACTACGTAGTAGAAGGGGAGCCCTCCGCCCGACAGACCCTAAAACCCTAACCCGCATCGCGCGCCAGGCGGAGGCTTTTTACCTCTGCCTCGAGCAGATGTGGGCTGATGGTGACCTACCCGGCTTCGCAGTCCACTCCATGTGGCCAAGCTTTTTTAAAGGGCTTATTGGGTTTTAAGTTTTAGGGGCGGGGTTCTTCCATGGAATGTATGCCGCGGGTTACGGTACTGTGACAATTGTAGCGGGGGAAGATTTCAGGTCAACATGGGCACTAAACATAGACTATCTGCACTTGGTTGTGTGTTTAGGGAGCCGTGTTCAAAGTACCTCATCAGGGAACATGTGTGGACTCCTCCTTTGACAAACTACTATTGATCTATGGGTCACATCTGTGGGAGGATGTAAGAGCCGAGGACGACCCGTCTGCATGGCCCGTGAACACAAAACCTCAAAGCAGAGCGATTCAATGCCACGAATGAAGAGCTAGACGTTGAGCTGAGTGCGCCACATTCAGGTCGAGGGGCTTACAGTGGCTTACAGTATATTGCAGGTGTCCGGCAATCACACTTGGCCTTGAACGCTGCCCAGGCGAATATGGCGCGAGTGCGCTGGCTTAGAAAGCCGACCCCTGCCAAAGCGGCGCAAACGCAAGCGGGGCCCTTGTGCCTGTGTCATTTCTTAAGCTGGGACGTATCCAATGCCACTCATCGCCATCGTTGTTTTGGACTCAAGAGGCAGCAGAAATGCAGTCTCGATCAGCTCTTTGGGCAGGGAACGAACCCTAAGCCCCATAAGCGTGGAAGTTCGGCAACCCAAACTGAGCAGTTTGTTCAAGAGTATAGCCTTGCGCAAAGATTTCGGGGATCCTTCGGCCCACGCTCGGCGCTCTGAAGTGGTGTCCCGGCACTTCTGCTGAAGGCAGCATACATGCACAAAGGGCCAGAGCTTTAGGAGCACGCTGATTTCCGAGGCCTTGGTAGGCACCTTCACCCAAGTAAGGCTTACTCAACACGCCAGCCCAGCTCAGGCAATCAAGCAAGCAGGGACGGGAATATGTGATGCCGTTTCCATAATGATAAATGCACATGCATACTCTCAGCCATGGTCCAGCCAATGTAGCTAGTACGGCCGAGCTTAATTTCCTCAAGCAGCAGGCGTGCAATGCAGACAGGAACCTTCAACCTGCAAGAAGCATCGAGATCGAAGCCCTGGTCCTTATAGGTGCAGCTCGAGCGATCACAAGGCTGCGTGGCCAGGTTGGGACCAAGGATCCGAAGTTTGGCGGTCATTGACGTTGAGCACGCGTGAACTGAGCCAAGGATCCAAAGTTTTGGCCCCAACTGGTGAGCTGCTGACTCCCGCCTGCGCGGCAGCAGTACAGTCCAGTCACCCAAGACGGATTCTAGGGAAGAGAGGGCGCTTGAGGTTTTTAAGTGTGGCTTTGGTGTGGCCACCTGTAGAGTCGAACTTGGTTTCACGTCCTACTCCTACGTGGGATGCCAGTGTTAGCAAGGTACACCTTTAGATGTGTTGTATGAAGTTTTGTTGAAACCACCATAAAGGAATTTTGGGTATGCTCTGACCTTGATATTGCATACAGGGTTCGACGACATCAAAGATAGAGGGACAACAGATTCGTGCATGGGTTTTGGTGCCAACGACATCATGGAACACAACTGAGGAAGCTTGGGAGAGTGGCGTGGAGTTGTTATTTCAATTAAAGGCCGGCACAGGCTTGACGTTTCACCGCTCGTGGTTAAGTCGATTTGCTATAGGACATGCAGGGTATCCCTCCAGGCGTTACTGACAGCACGATCTCCCCCACAATCAGCATCAAATTTCCGCCCGTTTCCGATTTCTTGGCGTAGGCCCGGAGGTGTAGCGACCCATTGTGTGGTTTTCTGTCACAGAACCAGAATCTCCCCCAAACCCTCAAGCCTGAGCCCAAAACCAGAAGTAAACCCTAAACCCTAAACCCTAAACCCTAAACCCTAAACCGCTCCAAGCTGTGCCTCTGCGAGCTTGTTCAAAGCTGAAGCGCGGCTTTGTGAACGTGAGCGTCGGCGTCGGCCACGTTTCAAACGGCCGCACAGGGTGTGACGACATGTCTCCAACGGGTTTAGGGTTTAGGGTTTAGGGTTTAGCGGTTAGGGGTTAGGGGTTAGGGGTGTGGGTTCAAGAAGTAGGCAAACCTGAACCTCAACACAGTTTCACAAGCTGGGGCTTAGGATGAAAGTGGACACCCCTCGCACAAACGGATCAAGGTGCTTGCGCCAAGAGGTTTGAACGGACAGCCGGGGGCTCTTGGCTCAGTGCAGCGACTGCTGAGGTTTGATTTTAGGGTTCGGGGCTTGGGGGTTAGGATTGGTGGTCTTACTCCTTGTGAAGCAAAGACAAGTGGTTAAAAAATGACGTCTCCTAGCAGCGCAAGCCTTATCAAAAATCGCATGATCAACCCGGAAATCTAAGGCCCTAAACCAATTCTCTCATGGACTGACAGTTCACAGCTCCAGATCCAAAGTGCGCAACCCTAAGCCCAAAAAGCCCGGGACAAGAACTTCACTCCGACCACTCGACTTCCCAGCCTCGAAATCTGAGGCTGACCCAAATGTCTTGACAAGACTTTCGACCTTGCAACGAAATCCCTGCGAAAGCTCGGTCGAAACTCTCTAGAAGTTGACCAATGCCAAGGTCACACACATCGGGAATGGTGTGCGGCACTCAGCATTATTCCTCGTTCAATAATGTAATACTTTGCTAATAGAGTAATGTAAGAAGAGATGTTGCCGCTGTCAGGCTGAACCTTTCGACGGTTCGGGTGGAGAAGCCGTTCGAGAAAGAGTTGAAACGTACAGCAGCATCTTGATGCTGCATAGTCTAAGCACATATATATATATACACTCGCATATATTTATTTGTTTATTTATTTACATATATATATATATACATATATATATAAGAATACCACAATACAACAATGTAGTACTATACTAATAGAGTAACATATAAGATATGTGGCCATAACACTCGCAGCTAAAACGCTCAGAGTCTGGTTCTGTCTAGCATCCGGGCGCCATGTGTAGCCAGGACACTCCAGGGCCACCACTCTCACAAGAAGTCCACGCACTGGGAACCCTGAAGCCGTCGCCGAGGTGGTTGTCCACTTGAAGGCTGAAGTCTCCCACGACAGCGCCTGGATCTTACCGTGCGAGCTCTTGCTTCCCAGAACTTGGACTGACTTGAACGGCTTGCAGTCTTACAGTACTGTTCAATCTCACAGTAATTCCCACTTGGCCCATCCGCACATTGTAAGGTTTGGCACAGAGCTGTGTGTTCCAAGCCAGGGTTAAGATTTGTCAGATGCCTGAAGCGTGTGAAATGCAGAGTCGGAAATTGCATCACTACTCTTGGCCCATGTCAGGGGCAGATATGGGCAGATCGTTGATAGGCCCTAAACCCTAAACCCTAAACCCTAAAAATGATTGTCAACGACCTGATAGGTCTTGGAAGATGGCGTCTTCCTGAACGGAGAGCTATCCGGCTTTTGCCATCTCATGGCGGGGGCCAAGGCAAAGCGCATCTCCCGGTCTCACGTAGAAGAACACGCTAAAGTGGCTGATGTCGTGAAATGGGGTCTGCAGAGCTGCCTGCGGGAAAACTAGCCATAACTAGCCTTTTCTGGCATCCTGACGCAGAGTGCGTGATGAGATCCAGCATTTGATCGTACGAGTGGGGCTGGGTAGGGCTTCTTCTGGCAAGAACTTGATCAGGTTGCCAAAGGCGCCATCCTGCATCAGTTCACAACGGTTGGTACCAGTTCGTTCTGTGCCATGATGACAAAGGCCGGCACGTTTTGAGATCGTTGCTTGAAGCCACAACATGCCGTGCCCTGAAACGGATCCGCCTACATGATGCGATGATATTGCCCTAGTTGGTACTACAAGGCCAAACGTCGGGGACTTTGGGGGGCGGGGCGGAATGAATTCGCATCATGGCTGGCTGTTTTGTTCGGTGCATTAGCCAATATTGGCCACCCTACTGCAACAAGCGGCCTGTGAGGATCATAAACTCCGCGTTGCACTGGACAGGTGCGTCACGATGTCCTTCCCTTCTGCGTCCTGGATGACGTGCTGCTTGTTGATCGAGTGCGGGGCCCAGAGGTTGATCTTCTCAAAGCCTAAACCCTAAACCCTAAACCCTAAACCCTAAACCCCACACATGGGCAAGAGTGTGCTCTCAAGTCGGGGCAGCTGCTAAGCCTTCTACCCAATCTGCACGGGAAAGGCGCCGAGCCGAGATGCCACCTTGAGGTAGTCCGCGTAGCAAGTGGGGATGGGGGTCAGCTGAGCACTTTCGATCGTTTGCCTCCCGTATCTGCTACCGACTTCGGTATCTTGAAGGTTGCAGCGTGGCACTTCCAAGAAATCAATGCTTCGGGTTCGAAGCTCTTGGGATCCAGCAGAGACCCCAAAGTCTGACCCCCAAAACCTCCACAGCACAGACCCATACTTTGAACCACAGAGGCATGGAAAAGCAGTGGGGGCTGTATAAGAGGTCTTCCAAAGTGTTTGTTGAAAGGGCTTCGCTGCACTGATTTTGCGTGACAGCCCAAGCTTGGTGCAGGAACACGATGTTATTCAACTACAACTGTTGCACCCTGCGATCTGAAATCGGGCACTTTGCAATTGTAGCTGTCCAAGGACGATCCTTGCAACAGTTGCCATAAAAAGGCGGGCCGCTGTGTGTTACAGGTGAAGGAGGGCTTCAAGCAAGTAATCGTATACCTAGCCTGAGGCACACATATCCCCTCGTCTAACGACTCATGCACTCGCACAAGTTGGGCGGGGACCCTGGGCCAGAGCCTAGGTCGCGCTGAGTCGGCAAGGCAAATCTGCAGAGGACTGGGTTTAGGGTTTAAGGTTTGGGGTTTAGGGGTCGGAGCAGGATTAGGTTTCGGATGGCCTTGGGCTGACTCCGTGGGGTAGTTCCACCGCTCGTTGCTTGTACCGCTTTGCCCGTGCACCGCACCCTAATGCAACCTAGGGTGTACCGGCAAGTTTGCATAGCTCCTTTTCGCGGATTGCCATCGTTTTTTGTTCATGATCTGTTCATCTTTCGAATAAATACCTAGCTAAGGCAATAGCCGTAAGGTTCGAGCAAGATGTCCCTGCTCTGATGGACACTTGTCACAGGAGGCCGAGGAGTTGGATCAGTTCTACACTCGCCACTTCTCGTCACAGGCCATGATTACTCAGTTCGAACTTGCCCTTCCAGCAATACCAAAATCGGTCGAAACATCCAATGCCCTGAGCCGTTCGATTCTTCATATGCTTCAAATATGGTATGCAGCTTTGCCAATGTACATGGTGGGATGCAGGCTTGCGGCAAAGGGTCCTGAGTCTTGTTGACTTCCCACAGCTACATCATCATACCATCTTCCAAGTCAATAATGCCTCGTAGCTGTTGATGGCGATTCTGCTGGAGGATGGCATGATAGGAAATCGGATTGAACCAACCCCTGCATTCATGGCCTTCCCTTGGTCGTTGATGTTTTGATTTCGCATCACGCCGTCTGATCAAACTAGGGCAGTTAGGGCAGTTAGGAGAAGCCCTTGCCCTGCAACGTTTAGCCCCCTCATATAGGATTCTGGTGATAATGGGTAGTCGTCACATCAGCGGTGATGAGCTATAGTGGCAGTAGGCATTTTATTTGCACCAGAATCGGTTAGGAAACATGCATGTGTCCCTCTTGCTGTTGAGCGCCACCATCTCCTACGCACACATTAAGCCCTTAGGCCCTAAGTCCTGCATGTTTCTTGTTGTGGCAGGCCGCACCTTACATCCAGTCCATAGACGCAACGCTGCAAGAAGATGAGTTGCACTTCGCGGGTAGTTTGGGAGGAAATCAGGGTCCAGGGTGAGTGTTTTCTTAGGGCTTAGAAGTTTAGATGTGCAGGGTTCAGGTCTGTCATGATCTAAGGCATAAAAAGCCTCAGGTGCATAGTTTTCCAGGTTCACATCTTTTGTTGCCCTTGACTCTGCGTCTTCCCCAGTTCCAAGGACAGCCTGCTTCCAGAGGACACCAAAGGCTGGGAAGTCAACGATGTTTGGGTTTAGGGGTTAGGACGGTTAGGCTTCTAAGACATCACCAGACTGAAAAAAGTGAGGGCTCTCAACCCCCAAGTGCCTGGCTCCTGCACCTCCCAGAACCATAGCATTTCTTCCTCATCATTATGCATAGACCCCAAAAGAGTGAAAGACCTTGCGAGCCCAGAAGTCAACAAGTGATGACAGTTTCGCATTTCGTGAGCCCAGACGTCCAAAAGCGATGACAGTCGAGTTTCGCCCGTCCACAATGGCAAACAGCGATGACAGCTTCGAGGACGTCGAGCACGGCAACGCCCATGCCTAGAGGAGAGCGGGCGGGTGCTGAGCCCCTCTGGGGGTGGGAGGTAGGCCCATGAAAAAGGGGTGGGGCAAGCTGGTGGGAGCGAAAACAACAAGGCTTCACCAACGCCAACCGAAAAGTTGGCGGATGACCCTATAAACCCGATCAAAAACTCATGAGCTACGAGCCCTGCAAAGCCTGCACCCTCTAGAGGTCACAGGGTGGGTAGGGTTTTGCAAGGTTCACCCTCAACCCTAATTTTGCAGTGGCTTTTGGGGGTTTTTTGGCTGACCCTGACAGCTGATTTGGTGGGACTTCGGCTTGACCAGGTTTGGCTTGAATGAGTCAAGGGATTCATTTTTGGGGCATCCGTATACTCTGTAAGTCCCAGACACCACCAGAAGGACCCTAAGCCGCACACAATCCTTACAAGCCATCTAGCCCCAGAGCCTTGAACAGCTCCCCAAAACTCCGATTTTCTTAGCAAACCCTACATAAGCCCCAAAACCATGAGCAAGCCCTAACTAAGCCCGAAAACCCTCAACTGCCAGTAACCCGGAAATGGGTGTTTCCCGAACTGCCCCACAATACTGTAGTCCCTATTGCACCCCTCCCCAAGAAGAAAAGATGGCACAACCCTTGCTTGGGGGAAACCCCGACATAAGCCTGCAGACCCTCAATGCGCCATCTGCAGGGCCCTGGTTCGGTGCAGAGATTCAGCGCTTCTTCCGTATCCGGTCGCAGATGCCGGGAGCCTTGATTTTTTCAGTGCTGTTAGGGGGGGTGCAGAAATCAGTTTGTTTGAAAGCACGGCTTCAGATCCGAGGGGTTTTAAGCCAAAGGACGAGAAAAGCAAGACAGGATACAGTCATAAGAGACCAAAAGGGGAAAACAAAAGACCAAGAACACTTTTAAGAACATGTTTGAAGTAGTTTCGTTTGAAATATGTTTGATGTTTTTGTTTCGATAGACTCGAAGAAGACGATATAGACCTGCACTGAAAGCACAAGTTTTAGGGCTTCGGGGTTTCTAGGGGCTCAGGGTTGAAAAAGGGCGTAGGGGTTTTTGAGGCTTTAGGTGGGGGTTTATAGTATGTCACATGGCCTGTTCTCATCTTCTAGGCCTCCGATGGTGAGGGGGGGGAGGGGGGGGTGACTCGATGGCTACGCCATTCTCGAACCACCATGTCCCGACTTCACGCCCGACCAACAGTGTGCCACGCAACACCCTGTTGATGAGATCAATTCAGAGACCTTTGGCGAAGGATGGATCTTGATATCTTCATCACACCCTCATCAGACATAAGCATACATAGTACTGGCCGCGGAATACAAATGTATAGTAGCGTCAGGCAACTAGGTGTTCCACGCCTACTAGACCATGGAGTCATACATGCGTGGGTACCACGCAGCTCTGTTCAGTACTTCTCTTCACAATTTTCCGCCGGACAGCCAAGTAAGCCTGTGCTGAGGCGGGACCGCCGCCCCCTGGCCCGATATGGCGTCGCACCTGAGCCACGAGCGCCGACATGAACTTCCGAGAACGACGCAAATTCTGGCAGATCATGCGCATCATGCTCATCAATCCCTACATGGCGCCGGCGAGGACTACTGTAGCTAAAGTCCGTGGACATCAAAGACGACGAAGGCCCAGCAGCTTACCAGCGAATTTCTCTGGATGAAGTTGCTTTCCGTGGCAAAGACACATGTAGCAGCTCTTCTGCGCGAAGATGATAGAGCTGTGCATCCTTGCGGGACATGCTGAAGCCCCTCCGGGGCATGGTTCGCAAACAACTGGCTGCTGAGTCGTTTCAGCGATGATGAGTGGAACCTGAGCACACTGTTGTGCCGATGCTTGTAGATCCAGTGCCGCATTTGCACTGAAAGCCCGGCTGGCCGCAATGGGGGCACCAAGGTTTGAGTGGCCATGAAAAAATGTGGCAAAAGGGATCTTCCAAGTGCCCGGCTTGCAGACTTAGAGTGATTCTCAGATTGTGCTGCTGCTTGCACTGAACTCAGTGACTCAGCATCCCTCGCTCTGCCGCTTTGGGCTCGAGAAGCTGATCACTCTTGAAGCCCCACGGCTGTTGGCTACGTGGATCCAGGCTTGGGACCACCCCCTCCCTAGTCGAATGGGGTCACTACCCCGGAATCCTGCTCTACTGGTACCTGCTTTGGCGGACTGCGTAAGGGCTTTGCGCATGAGTACCTCTGTACGAATCAACTGCTGTTGCCAGGCCATGCCCGAGTACCATCCCGGCACAGACATCGAGATACCCAGTGCCGCAGCCTCAACGCCCGGGAGTTGCAAGTGTGCTACGTCAAGGGTAGACCTGGAATGTTGTTCTGTCTGCACCGTGGGCTTCGCATGCTCTCAGCAGATGATGGCTATATGGCCATTTCGTCTCGCATCATAAAGAGTCATTGCAGCTGCCACGTGATGCAATTTTTTTTTGGAAGGCTGCTCTTTCAACTTACAAGCGTCCAAGAACACAAGTTTAATCTGCTAGGCTCCTCAGAGTACTGCAGTTCTGCGGCTCGGGGCTTCAGGCACCTGAAACCCTAAGCCGAGCATGATGCCTAAAGCCCTGCAAGGGGGTGCCAACCAGTGGCTTCCGGAATGCCATTCCAAACACCAAGACCGGTCCCCAGGATGCTGTGTGCGCAGATTTGGGGATTTGGGGGGTTTCGGGCTTTGCACGTAAGGGCTGGGTTTTTTCCACCATGTTAGCGAAGCCGCTGTGTCTTCACCAACCAAGGGCTCCTGCCACAATGGGGGGGTTTAGGCACCTGCTGCCCCTGGTGATATGCCTATGAAGCCCAAAGCCACCGGAAAAGAATCCGCAAGCTGCAGCCCCAAACATACCCGAAACCCTCCACCCTAAAAGGGACCCTAACCCCAAGCCCTCATGGGACCTCATGGCCACTCCGATGTTTCCAAAGACCCCGCTTTGGCCGGCAAAACGACTCTCCTCAATCCGCAGCTTCCTCCTGCCGGAATGGTGGTGTAGGAGTTTAGGGGCCACAGGGCGCTGATATGGGCTATTCTGGGCTTGGCTCCCAGTAGGCATGTCGAGAGCAAGGCTGAAGCTGGCATATGGAGAAAGACAATTTTTCACAACGGAAGGCGGTATATGAAGCACAACCTCGTCGACCTCAAGGCCGTCTGCGAGGCCTGATTTGCTCGGCTTCAGGCTTGAGTGCCCTTTTTCACGGCACACAAGAGGCCTGCTCAGAGGCCTTCCCACAATCCCCAAAAAGGCTTCAAAGCTCATAAACCCTAAACCCAAAGACTGCCCTGTGTAGGCTCCCCCTAGGGCTGGGCGCCAGGCCTCGTATACGGGCGACTATGACAAGCTGGAGGCCGATCTGCGCACTTCAAAGTCCCAGCTTGGCAGCATGTACTAAGCTACTGTAAGACCAGACAGATAGAGCCGAACTGAACTTACGGACTCTCGGCAGAGAAAGCTTTCAGCGGTCGCATGCAGGGGATGTTGGCAACCGGCGACGAGAAAACGCTCTTCAACGGCGACTTGAACGGCTTCGTCAACAACGTGGGAGCCTTGCTTGGGTCCTCTGCAGCCCGGATTTCTTCTGAAATTACAGATTTGCAGGTCTTCAGGTTTGTCTGGGCACCTCTGTTTTCATCCACGCTGTATTCTCCGACTCAGATCACCGCGTTGCAAATGGCCTCAATGGCTGGGCAGACGGAGTGCGTGGCCCTCCTGCTTAAGGCGAAGGCCAGGCGTCTGGTGAGCCTTTTTGGGCGTTTCCTTTGGTGCGCGTACCTGTGGCCCTAGCATTCAGGCAGACCCCCACGTCAAGGAGAGCATGAACTACGGGAATGATCCCGAGGCCCTGCCGTGAGCACTGCGCACTGTGCCGGATGCCGGATGTCTGCTGCCACGTTATCCTTCCAAGCCGTTTCCCTTTCAGCCTCTGGGAGTGACGCAGTGGGACCTTCAGAATCTTCACTTAGATTGAATGACTGAATTAGGAGCAGTTTGCACTGCTGCATGTCAAGATGATACCGCTGTGAGAAGGATGGCAAAACGGCGCTGGAGTTTGCAAAGGACCTTGCAGGGGCCATGGCAGTGGTTGCGAAAGAAGCAGTTTTGTGGGCACTGCATTTGCCACGGCATCCTGCGCAAAGCGGGATAGGCTTGCAGGGGGCGAAAGCCATGAAAGGCCATCAAAAGCCGTGTAGCCAGCCTTGCACGTTGCCGCAGGAAGCCGGCTATGATGACATTGTAGAGGTCCTGGAACAGTCAGAGAAGGCGGCGGCCGAAAGCGGCTCAGAGCTCGGGATTCCGGATGTGCGAAGCCTGGCCGACAGGACACCCCTTATGGGTGGTATGTTCCTTCTGGCGAGGGCAACAACGCCAAAGCCGGGAGCTCTTGTCCTTGCTGGGCTTGAATGTCACGCTAGTCGGGCTTAAGCTTTGGCATGTTTACAGGTCCCAGGTGAAGGGTAGCATACCTTGAGACCCCCGAGACCACACGTCAGGGAGATGTGTTCGGCAATAAGTCCAATACATGTACAGCTCGAGGGCCATCTCCAAAATGGGTGCGGTACGGTTTGCTTCCATGGTGTTGGCGTCAGCACAACCAGGCTAACAAGGCCACCAAACCGAGAAGGCTTGAAACAGGACTCAGGAACCCTCTTTCTCCCCTTCCGCCTGATACGCAAGCTCTTGGGAGTGATGGTTTGGAGGGGTGGGGGGTGGGGGAGGCATGCCGGCAACTACTCGGGAAGGGGATAGATTCATACATTACCCCAAGCCCTAACACGCTCATAGGGCTAAGCCCCGCCAATCTCCCAAATCTCTTCGCAAGGTCTACGGGTGCTGGCAGTGGGGCAAGAAGCCGCCCAAAGGGCAGCCCGCGGGTTCACATGTTGCTGTCAAGACCGGGTTTAGGGATTTAAGGATGAGGGCTCAGGGTTTTGGAAGAAGGGTTTTTCGGGTTTAGGGTGGAGATTGTTGGGGTTTCTGGCAGTCGAAAGTTCGTCGCAATTCGTTCTTGCAACTCCGGAGTTGCGAGCCCGTAGACCTGGCATTTGGTTGCGCGCGCCCCTTCGGAACCCCACAGGTTCAATTTTGACGGAGCCATCAGATGCATGAGTCTGCCTTGCATGGCCGAACACCACCCGTCCACGGCACATTGTATCTTTCTAGTGGATCGAAGTTGGGACACTGTTCGCATGTTAAGAGCGATACAACAATCCGAGCCTTGCAGCTCCATTGTAGGATGTGCTGAGGGATCTCGTTGAAGGTCATGGCTCTTCTTTGATCTAAAACATGGCACCACTTGCTGCGCATTGCTCTTACCGACGTGGTGGCCAGCTAGCCTGAGTTGAAGCAACTTCCTCAACAGTCCTCAATACGAAAAGTTCCTAACCCTAAGATGCAGTGGCCGGAAGCTGCTCCCCAAGTGAAAACGGCAACGGACATCAAGAAACACACATGTAAGCAGCCCTGACTTGCAGCAGGTATTTCTCTTCGAGACCTGGTGCGGCTGAAGCGAACGGCCGGGGCCTCAAAGATATTGGGCTATGGATGATCTCTCTCGTGCCGTTTCATATGAAGAGCCCAAGGTTTCGGGTGAGTTGCCGGCTTTTGAGTTATTCAGATCTGCCAGTGGTGTCGTATGTTCAGAGTAGACTCTGTAGACGGTGGATTTGCCGAGTACCAGACACCAGTGAAGCGTTAGTCCTGCTAGTCTGGCAGCAAGCCTGAGGCTTCGACCCTATGAAGTACGGAACCGGTCCTATCAAGGACGATGACGACGAGGCCGAAGCAGTGAGAGAACAGACTGACAGAAGGCGGCCCTAGGCCTATAAATTTTCTCTGGTCCCATGAACAGCAGATGCAGCTTGAGGAGGAAGTCGTGCAGATTCTGGATGCGCCCCGTATCGCTCCAGCCGCCCCCAAGGCCGCGGAAGGATATTGTTTTGGCTCCTTGCAAGGGTTGTGGTCGTATCGAAGCTGCCCTAGACAAGAGGAGAGCTCTACAAAACTGAGTATCTTCAGGGATGTTCTGTAGGGATTGGGCTCTCTGAAGTTTTGGGGAGCGTTCTTGTTCGCCCATGTCGTTGGCGTTTGAAATTCCTCCGAAACCTTATGTGTTCATCGTGTCTCAAACTCCGCAGCATACTGCACTCGACCTCCAGGCCCTGCCAGCCACTCCGGCTCCAGCAGCAGACACCGCGCTTCCGGCCCAAGCCTAAGGACCAGCGCGGAATTTTCTTAGTTTCGGTGTGGGGAGCAGAGATTAGGCCCGGCTATACTTGGACTTGCAGAACAGATCAACACCACATAAGCTCTGGGTGTTTGAAGAGCACTGGTTTGAACTGCTGTTCTGAGGCTGTTGGATTTTGTCTCTGGGGGGCTTCTAAAGACCTCCAAGCCAGATCAGGGTTAGCTGGGGCTTACAATGGCTTCATGGGGCCCTTGAAGACCTGCAAGGGCTGTGCAGAGATACAGCACCGCATGTCCCTCAAAATTGGCGACACCAATGCATGCCATCCGGCAGAAATACATGTGTATATATATATAGATAAGTATCGCGACTTCCTTCATGAACTGGCTGGATCTTGTCTGAGGTCGCCCTGCTGTTCCCCGGCCAAGGTTCTCAGTGCGTCGCTGTCTGAGAAGCTGGGCACATCATGGTCCTGCGGCTACGGGGCTTCAGGGCTTCTGATCTGAGCGCTTCGGATTTTGTTCAGCTTGCGTAGCGGCCTAGCGATGTTGACATAGATTGAGATGCGGCTGCTGTAGGGGCAGGCCCTCGAAAGCGCCTTAACTCATCATCACTGCCTCAACAGCAAGCGTGACAGTGTAGCAACAAGCATAACCCTGTGAGCAGAATCGCCGAAGAGTCGCATACTGAGCCACTGAGGTTGGTATGCTCAAGCAGGTCAAAGACATGCCAGTCGTGAAGGTCTCTCTGCCTTGCCTTGTGGCCTGGTGTTTCCAGGCCAAGACGGGTAGGCCTGGGCTGCAGTGCTGTTCCTTCTCTGGCTCAAATATCCACGCCCAAGTGCAGCTCTAGTTGCTGAAACAAACCTCCAGCACGTGCAGAAGCCAGCGGCGGCTCATTGCCTTGTCTGTAGAGCTGTAGCGCTGCAGTACAAAGGCCCCATCCACCTTGCAGTTATTTTCGGCGCTAGGTTGCGCTTTCGAAGTAGTTTGGCGCGAGCAAAGAGCAGTCCTACGATCTTGAAGAGCCTCCGAGTGATGGCGGACTCCTGGCTCTTGGGCGGCCTGCCGGAGCCTAACTGTACCGGACATCGAAGTAGCTCGACGCACTCGTACTCATGCATGTGAACTCATGTTCCTCGATTGCGTACTTGACACACCCATGCACACACTAGCTCTATAGTTGCAGAATGAATCATATCTTTCGTGGACTGTTTGACTGTTTGACACACGAGGCTTACAACAATGCGCAGCGAGCGCCAGCCACTCCTGCAGACCTCCCGAGGCTGTCGGGACTGGTAGTCGCGACTGGGCTGAAGGTACTGTACCAGGATGGGCCATGATCCCTTAAACGGCCCTTTATTGAGCTCCTCAGGGGTCCAATGCAACCGCGAAAAGGACACTCCTGTTTGCCGCGCCGCGATCCAGGTCCGAAGGCCTTCATGGAGCCTGGGGCCTGGATCCAGATTAGAGCGATGGCGTGGTAGAGGATGGTATAGAGACATCCCAGGATGAGTGCAGCACCAGAGGCTACCAAGTTTGTAGCACCTTGGCCTAGGGGCGGTATATCACAAGTAGGCCTGTGTGGTTCTGCTGTTCCTTTAAGGTGTACATGAGCTCCAAACCCTCCCAACCCTAACCGATCCCCAAACTACCTCAGAGGCTGCGAAGCGGCCTTTCAGCCCTCCAGCCTTTCTGAGCCGCAGGGGCTCTCTGAGGCCAGCGGATGAGTCTTTGAAGCGCTCTTGCTTTCAGCTTGAAGTGCTTTTGGGTACTGGGATGCATGGGGGCCGACTGTGCCGGCTCCGCCACCGCCCAATTCTCAATCCTAAGCCCGAAGTCCAAGGGGAAAAATCAACCACGGTATAAAAGCTCATCAGTCTTTGGTCCCCTTGAATCCTTCTCTCTTGGCTCTGCATTCCGGTCGTGAGCCCCCCTCAAGAAGCCTCTACCGATGGATCCCAAACATCAAGCCGCCTCAGTAACACACTTAGAAATACCGAGGCTAGGAAAGGCGACGACCTGCAAATCTTCAAAGAACCTTCAAAAGTCTGAAAAACAAAAATTGTACAGCGGGCGATTCAACTATGAAACCCGTGCGGCCTGAGCCTCAGAAGGCCTGGCCTGGGATGGCCGGGATTTCTGCGCTGGGGGAGGCCCGGCCCGGCATCCGACTCTGCAGTTTAGCCCCAAAACCTGCGCTGTCCCAGGGGACTACAGGAGCCACCCTTACAAGGGAACCTCCAACTATTTAAGGGCTATTAAGTATATAGGGACTCCATGAGGTATATATAGGGGCTATGTAGGGTGGATGGTGAACCATGGTGGACCAGGGTAGACCATCCCTCGGTTGGAGGCAACTAGAGGGCCAGGGCCGAGGGCCTTTGTTGCTGCTCTATTGTTACTGGGTATTGTTTCCTGAAGTGAAGAGGGGGCGTTGCAATCACAAACGCCATCGCAGCGTGAGACAAGGTGCGTTTGCTGCTTCAGGGCTTAAGGAAGCTTGCGCCAGAGCGTTGGGACGGGTCCAAGTTTGGTGCTGGCAATCGCCTCCTGGCCTGGCTCAAGGAAACCCATCTGATAGCGAACCTGGCCTGCATCCCTTCCAGGCCGACTTTCCATATTTCATCTGAGTCTTTGCTGATCAGTCAGCACGTTTGGAGGAGGGCAGATTCTTCAACCCGCAAAGGTTTTTGGGCACTTTTCCGTCGAACCCCCACACACGTTAAGTCGCACACGGGCCACAGCACAAAAGCGTTTATTCAACAACCATGGTATTCAACCCGCCCAAGCCTCCCCCCCCCCGAACCCCAGGCTTACAATCGACACTTCAAGATGCAGTCCGAGGAGGGCCCCGAGACCCCCAGCGGGGCCGCAGCTGCAATCCTGGCATCTCGGGCCTCGGACAGCTATGGCTCCTGCGAGGAGGAAGGGAAGGCCGGAGCCTCCCTGCTCTTAGCATCAAGTGATAGGGGGATGAAGCATATGAAGCACAGGGCCCAAGCCCCTGAAGGATGCAGAGGTGGGAGATGCGAAGGTGCGCCGTGCCCCACGTCCTCGAGAGCTCCCAGGTAGGCTTCGGCTGGGAGTTTCAGGGTGGTAGGAGACTTTCACTTGACGTCAGATTGCTGCGACCCGAAATCCTGCACTCGACATAACCCTAAACCCAGCAGAAGCGAGTGAACGAGAGACAGAATTCTGCAGACATCCAAATCGTTTTGCCCTACAAGGCTTGGAAGAGGTTGGGGGCTTTTGTGGCGGCTTGGTGCAGGACTACCGGCGAAGCTGGGTCATGGTTTTGCATGTGTTATGATTGTTCTCGTGTCGGATTCCATAGTGACAGTCGAGCCGGAGTCTTTGGTCTTTCGTTTCAGGGCAACTTAGTAACTTAGGAAGGGCCAAATTCCTGGTGTCTGACTGGACCAGCGATGCTTTTACCGCCAAGACGATCTCCTCCGCGCTCTTCATGTTCTTCGCCACCTTCACCTCGACATTGGCTTTGGGAGAGCACATCAAAGAGTCCACCAACGGCTTAATCGGTCTAAACGAGTACCTGATGATGAATAGCCTGGCGGGCATGACCCACGCAATCTTCGGGTGTCAGCCACTTCTGGTACTCCGGCCAACAGGGCCCATCACGCTTCTCTTCGAGAAGCTGCTGGACTTCGCCAATCAGCACGCCCTTCCGTTTTGGCCATTCTTTGCCTGGACAGGTATTTTTGTGGGCCTGCTCATGTTCCTGATATCGGCCTTTGAGCTTTGCAAGTACGTCAAGCACCTCTCCCTTTTCACAGAGAACATCTTTGCCACCTTCATTGGCATGGCCAGGGCTTCCCAAAATCTTTTCTGAGCTGGGGGGTTGGGACCTCCAATGCGCAACCTGATGCGCAAGATGCCCAAAACATCCCCCTGAACCCAGGTCTACATCAATGACGGCGTTCAGGGCATGATCCGGCTTTGGGGAGAGGGCTCGCAGGCTTCCTACGGCAGTGCAGCGGCAGCCTCCAAGCTCCTCACACTGAACATGACCATCGGCTTCACGGCCCTCACCTTGTCCCTGGTCGGATATAGACTGTGACTATTTGAGCATGGCTCGCACTCAGTTGTCTTGTGATAGCTGAACCCGAGCCTGGGAACTGAAATCCCAGGATCCGCAGTTGTGCTGAAAACTCTCTCACTTTCACACTTTGTTCTATGGTTTTAGGGCCTTCGAAAGCACTCTCATAGCAGACAAAAGACAAAGAAAGAAGCTGGGCGGGTGGGATTCGGGTTGCAGGTGGCTCAGCACGCTCCAGTCGTCCAAACTCCTGACTTTCAAGGGAAGGATGTTCCTCAAGGATTATGCCCTGACGATCAGCCTCTTCGTTTCGATCTTCGCGGCCCGGTATCTCAACCAGGGCCTTTTCCCGGTGACGTTCATCGACACGAAGACGAGCGGCTTCAACACCACCAGCGACAGAGTCTGGAATACGGACCTCACGGCCATCTCTGGGAGAGGTGTGCTGTTTGCTGCCCTGGCCGCCTTCCCAGTGGTGGTGTTCTTCTACCTTGACCAGAACATCTCCAGCAGCCTCTGCCAGAAGCCTGAGATGAAGTTGAGCAAGGGAAGCTACTTCCACTCCTCCTTCGCCTGTATGGCCCTCTTCAACACAGTCGGACCGCTCTTCGGGTTGCCCTTCGTCACCGGGTCCCTGCCCCACTCGCCCCAGTTTGTCCTGTCTTTGGCTGAGACCGACGAGGAGCACCGCGTCACGCGGGTGAGGGAAAACCGCCTGGCTCCCCTTCTGTGCTACTTCCTCATTGGCCTGCCCCTCCTAACTCCCACTCTGTTGGAGCACGTCCCCAAGGCCGCCGTCTTCGGCACTTTGATCTTCGTGGGGATCGATGGCATTCAGAGCACGCAGCTCTATGAGCGGGTGCTGCTCATGGTCACAGACCCACGCTTCTTTCCCAAGACGGGCCCCTTTGCAAATGTCCCCGCGTCATCTCTGCACTTGTACACCTTGATCCAAATTGTCCTGGTCGCAGCTTGCTGGATGGTGAATGCTGGCTTCGGGCTTTACTTCCCGCTCTTCTTCATCAGTTTGATACCTGTGAGATGGCTTCTCGGTCTCGATGGTAACATATGGCACCACCCTGCGAGCTCTTTGCTTTTGTCTTGTCGTCTTTTCAAAGGATCTTAGCCTTTAAGCTGCTAGTGGCTAGTGGCTCGAGTGCCAGTGAGGCGATTGGTAGATTCACCTATTTGCTATTCACTTGCGTTGCTCCTGTTCATTTGATCTGGAAGACAGGTTTCTCGTGCCGAGCTTCTTTACCAAGCAGATCCTGGCGGATTTGGACCACGGCCTCGATGTCAAGGAGGAAGATGCCAAGGGCCGGCCAGGCTTTGTGCGGAGCAGCTCAATCTACAAGGACATGTCTCCCTAAGAACGGACTGCGCACTGATGCGATGACAAGAGTTCGGTGTCACTTGCTGAAAACAGTCAGCCGTGGATAAAGATGCAGCAGCACACGTGCAACTACATGGGGGTGTCTGCGAAGCATCCTCAACTGGGCCTGCATGAGCTGTGGCACTGCAGTTTAGCTTAAGCAGTGCTGCCGCACTCACATAGCTCTGCTCCCGGATGCTTTTCCTCCTTGACATGAAAACGCGTTCCAAAACTGGTTCCCCCCTCATCCAGAGGTTAAGGCTTAAGGGAAGCCTGGTGTTAATCGAGTTCCCTATGAAGAATCGGACCCAGG